AAATAATAAATTAAACTTTTTTTATGTTTTTTTTTTTAATTTAGCACTCATAGTGAGCATAGAGACTAAAATTTATATATATATATATATATACTAGCAATGATTCCGGTTGTGCACGCACAGCCAGCCCAAACTCAGGTGATATTTTCCATTTTTTTTTCTGTGTAGGACCAAAAAAATTGCAGTGAATTTGTCATAAAACCTAATTTAATTATTTGGTAGAATCAACTTCAAATAGTTTTTTGAATGTTAAAAACAAGTTCAATATAAAAGCTTTTTGAATAAAGAAAAATAGTTATGTTAATATCAAACAACTAAATATTTACCGAATAATTTGCCTAAAACTAATCTAATAGTCAAATCTACCAATTCAATATGTTATTGGCTGTCGGTTATCAGGTATTTTTTTTCTTTTTTGGTACAGGGACCTTCCAGTTTTCGGATTCACAGGGGAACCGACTAATCCGGAATCGAGCCGGGTAGGACCACAAGGGCGGCAAAGCTCTCCCTCAAGAGTTTTAACACTGCTGCGTTCCCAGGACTCGAACACGAGACCACTGGTTAAGCTGGAAGAGACCCAAGACATCTCATCCAAGCGCTCTTGGGTGTCGGCTATCAGGTATTTGATTATTAATCTTCTGTGGAAATAATGCACAGTAATAGAAATACTCTTTCGATAATTAGACCTACATAGTTTGCTCCCTTTACTGTGAGAGACTTGAGAAAAAAATTATTGTTCATATTACCGAGGGAAAAAAACACTGCATAGTAATTGTTTGAGCAGAAGTTAAATAACAAGTATATATTACATCACAACAAAGAACAATAAACACAAAAATAAAATAACACACAATTGGGGTACTCGTGGATCTATGTTACATCAAGAAACAATGTTCTAGGAGACAATGGTATTTACAGGCTCAAAACAAATTCATGTTCAATAGGTTGGTTTTATTGGCTAGTAAATTTCAATCACCAAGTAAAAGTCACAACTCAATCACGTTTCGAGCAATGGATTATGGAAATAAAATTCACAACTCAA